CCGGGGCCTCCTCTGGACTCGCTCCAACAGCCCCACATCCCTCTTGTGCTGGGCAGTGGTGGGAGGCTGCAGAGGAACCAGCCCCTAATGAGGTTTCCTTTCTTTTCTGGGGGCTCTCCAGTGGATTTTGCTCTGAAGGTGGTCCAGTGGTCGGACTCGGAGACGGTGCGGCTTCAGCTCTGGGACATCGCAGGTACGTCCTCACGGCCCAGGGAGCTGCAGGATGGAATCTGCAGCTCTCGATGCCTTGTTCCTTTCTCTTGTTTTTTCCCTTCTTCCCTTTCCCTTCCTCCAAAAGGCGTGTGCTGCAGAGCTCCCTCCCAGCAGCCTGCTGGGGGCAGGACTGCTCTGCTCCGAGGGGCTCCTTGTTTGCAGTGGTGATAGATTGCGCAGGTGATAGAGCCACCAGCTTTTCTTCCCTGGTTCAAAGCCAGAGCAAAGTGAATGGGAAAAGGGCTCATCTGGAGCCACGTGTGTAACTTCTCAGCAATGCGCATGTGTTAAAGTCCCAATTTCTGGCATGATAGCTAGGAATCATGGAAAGGTTTGTGTTGGAAGGGAGCTTAAAGTTCATCCAGCCCCAACCTCCTGCTATGGGCAGGGACACCTTCCACTAGAGCAGGTTGCTCCAAGCCCCTGTGTCCAACCTGGCCTTGATTCTTGTGTGGGATCTGCTGGGATCCAGATCTGGCTGCTCTCACCTGTGCAAGCAGAGCCAGCGGATCCCTTGGGAGCACCCAGGGCGAGGGGAGACATGGGGCTGGGTCGGGAGCAGGGAGTGCTCCAGGACACAGCATTGGATGCGATGCAGCAGAGCAAGGAGCACCCACTTTAAAACAGCAGCTCTGGATGTGGAGGGTGAGGAACACGGGGCTGTGGTTTCCTCTGCTTGGCCACGTGCTTCTGGAATCCCTAAAAAAGAAAGCAGGAAGGAGAAGTTTGCAGCAAGAAACTGGTTTCAATTTCAGCCCCAAAAAGGCATTTTAAAACATGGGAAGCCGATGGGCCACGCTGGGCACAGAGCTCTTGGGGCACCCTGAGCAGCAGGGGATGGACACAGCGATGGTCCCCACACACTGCTCCCCACCCCAGAGGTGTGCAGAGGCACTCGAGTGGCTTGAGGGGCCTCAAAGTGCTGAGCAGCGACTGGGCTGCAGGGAGCCCCCAGGGAGAGCTCCTGGTTGAGGGAAAGCAGGTCAGGGAGGGGATTCTCCCCCTCTGCTGCGAGGGCTGGAGCAGCTTTGCTCTGGAGCCAGGCTGAGAGAGCTGGGCTGGGGCAGCTGGAGAAGAGAAGGCTCCTAAAGAGGACACCTTAGAGCAGCTCCAGGGCCTAAAGGGGCTCCAGGAAACCTGGAGAGGGGCTTTGGACAAGGGATGTAGGGACAGGACAAGGGGAATGGCTTGAACCTGCCAGAGGGGAGATTGAGATGAGCTCTTGGGCAGAAGCTCTTCCCTGTGAGGGTGCTGAGGCGCTGGCACAGGGTGCCCAGAGAAGCTGTGGCTGCCCCATCCCTGGCAGTGTTCAAGGCCAGGCTGGACACAGGGGCTTGGAGCAACCTGCTCTAGTGGAAGGTGTCCCTGCCCCGGCATGGGTTGGGGCTGGAGGAGCTTTAAGGTCCCTTCAGCACAAACCAGGCTGGGATTCTGGTGTCAGAAATGCTGGTTTTCACCGTGCTCCTGACCCATGAGGTGTGACACAAACGCTCTGGGACGTGTCCCCATTGACACAACACAATCAAAGCACACAGCAGCACTGTGGAGCTCTCCCTGGCTGCAGTGGTGGTAGCACTGGCAGTACTGAAGAGCACCACCAGTGTGTGAGTTGTGCTGCTTTCTGAGGGGAACTGCTCTCTCCAGAGGGCCTGGGGCCTGCAGCAACACACGTGAGTGCTGGTGGCACGGTCCTGATGGGGCAGGGCTGGCTGCGGGGGGCCAGGCTGCTGGGATTCAGCTCCAGGGAGCTGGATGTGTGCTCAGGGACATGAAACTTACACCAGGAGTAATGCAGGTATCTGTGGGTGATCTGATCTCGGTGCCTCCATAATATTTCCCCATTATTTAAGTGGGGATTTGGTGCCAGCTGAGAACATGATGTTCTGTGACAAACGTGTTATTTGCATGGACAAACCTGGAGATGGTAACTCTGGGGGGTAATTTCTGTTCCCTTTTGATCCCGAAGGACAGGAACGCTTCACATCCATGACCCGGCTGTACTACAGGGAGGCCTCAGCCTGTGTTATCATGTTTGATGTCACCAACATCAGCACGTTCAGCAACAGCCAGAAGTGGAAGCAGGATTTGGACAGCAAGCTCCTGCTGCCCGACGGGAGCCCCGTGCCGTGCCTGCTGCTGGCTAACAAAGTGAGCAGCTCTGCTTGTGCTTGGGAGTGTGCCCAGGGGTGCGGAAGGGAAGGAGACCCCTTTAGCATTAAGCCTTGCCTAGAGGTGCCCCGTAGCTTGTGGTCTCTTTAATCCCTTCCTTAACTGCCTCTGTGAGGATTCTCCTCCATAGCAGGACACTGGTAGGACTTGATGTGAGATGGCACCAAGGAGATGTTACGAGCTGCTCTCTCCCAGGAGGCAGCACCTTGTGCTGTTGGAGCTCGAGCTCCGCAGCTCCTCAATTATAAAGCTTTTCTGTGGTGGTCTTTCACTTGCAGTAGCCTGGGTAAGGTGTGTGTGGTGCTGCGGGTGCTGTGGTGCTGTGGGTGCTGCCCGAGGGATGCCTGGCTTCATGTGGATCAAGTTTCCCTGTGGGGATTAGCTGCTGTCTTTTCATCATCTGTTTCTCTTTCATTTCAAGCCTCCCTTCATGCTCTTCCCTCGCCCGCACTGGCTCAGCAGCTTCCCAGATGCAGCCTGAGATTTGCCTGCTTTGAGAGAGCCTAAAACTGGAGCTGACTCAAGAAGATGATGGGTGGGCAGGAGAGTGGCTGTTCTCTGCTTCCCAAATACGCGTTCCCCTGGTGCTGTTATAAGGTTACCAGTTTGCCTGCACTAAGGAAATCTGTGCGACTGTCACGCTGCACTCACCTAATACAAGATGTTATCATCTGTACTGAATTATAGGCTGCTTTGGGTTGGAAGGGACCTTAAAGCTCATCCAGTTCCAAGCCCCTGGGTTCCAGCCTCACCACCCCCCCAGGGATGGGCCAGGTTTTCCCCCTGCCCCTTCCCACCATGCAGGTAACACGGTTCCTTGCTGCCCAGAGGCCAGGCAGATTCTGGATGAGTGACAGTGCTTCCCTGAACCTCCATTCCACGCGTGCTTGCCTGAGGTGTGGCAGCATCTCCGAGGAGATAAAGAGATGGCTGCTTGCAACATCCCATGAAGAGCCTTGCCCACAGAACCCTCTATCAGTTGCGATCTGGGAGCTGTGATGGGCTGAGCCTGCTGCCTGCCTGCACACGGCCGTGTTTGCTGAGGGGCACAACTCCCCTCCCAGCGTAAGAACTAAAAGGCTGAACTTCAAATGGGTGGTTCTTGTTTTGCAGTGCGACCTCTCCCCATGGGCAGTGACAAGAGAAGAAGTGGATCGGTTCAGCAAGGAAAATGGCTTTTCTGGCTGGGTGGAGACGTCTGTGAAGGAAAACAAGAACATCAATGAGTCCATAAGGTAGGCACAGTGGCTGGTGATCCACCAAAGAGCTAGTTCCCTCTCTCAGACCCGGTCTTTGAGGTGAGGGGAGGTGCTGTCAGTAGGTAACAAACAGCAGCAATAAAACACAAGTAAATCTCCCAAAGGGAACCTGAATTCTGAAAGGTCAGAGGTTTTTTCTCTCCTTGGTTAAGCTCCGATGGGCTTTTGGCGACAGAAAATCATTTGAACAATACCACGGATGTTTCTTCATATGCTGCCCTCTACCCAGAGGATGGGACTTGTGCGAAGGTGTTAGAAACTCTCTTGTGATGCACCAGTCCTTCAGGGGAGGATTTGGTCCTTTCTGAAAGGCGTTAGACTCGGGTTTTGCACTTCATCTTGAGGGCAGGCAGTCTGTACCTGGGGAGCCTCTTGCTGTGTCCCCATCCTAACCTGGACCCAAGGTGAGGTGGTTGCTGTGGTGTTATCTGCTCATTGCGGGGTCTTCTGGTGCTGGCAGGTGGTGGCAGTAACGCTGCTGTCAGTGCTCTCGGGCTCCTCAACCTGCTTGTCTAGTCAAGGTCTGGAGCTCTGTGTCCTTCCGGAATGAACTGCCATTGATTTTGCTGTAGTGCTGGCCCAGTGCCTCCTGTTAAAGACAACCCAAACCCAGCTCACGTGTGTTTGTCTTCTAGAGTCCTCATTGAAAAGATGATGTCCTCATCCACGGGTGATGGAAGTTCTGCTGCTGCCAGGAGCGGGGATTACATTAACATTAAGGAGCCAACCCCGCGGGGCTGGGCCTGCTGTTAGAGCACTGATGGGGCCACCTGCTTGGCTCTGGCAGCAATGTCCTCCTCTTGTTAGCACCATCATGTTTTCCTAACCTGGCTGTCAGTGGGTTTGGGGTTACCTTTGTTACATGCTCACGAGCTGCCCTGTGTTCAGTGCAAACTCCTCCTCAGCAGAGCATCACTACAATGACCTGGAGCGAGGGGTGGAAAGGAGAGAGGAGTGAGAAGGTCCCTCTTGCTCTTGTGTAGCAGCACGTGGAGCTCTGCTGTTTGTGATGGAGCACGGTCCGTGTTCAAGCATGTGGCTCGGGTTAATTTTAACAGATTTGGAGCACTTCAGCCCCTGCCACGTGCTGGCCTCGAGCAGGGCGAAGGATGGCAAAGGTAGATTTTTAATACTGTTGCACCTTTTATTCCTCACTACCTGCACCCACCACAGCCAAGGGCACCAGTCCCAAGCCTTAAGTGACCTTCATTCCATGCACACGCTCTATGCCTGTGGATTCCCAGTGTGGGATTGCTGCAAACTCTTTTCCTTGTGCTTTGGAACTACAGACCTCTGCTTACACATGCTGGAGGGAGCAACCCAGCTCTTCATTGCCAGTAACTGCCCTTAGGATGGGAAGCCAGATGTGGATGAGCTGGTGTCCTGTGAAATCACTGGTGGGATTTGAGCAATGGGGTAGCACAGCCCTTACTTTTGTACATCCCAACCGTGGTGCTTCACAGCAGAGACCTCGGGCTTTCATCACGAATCACCCAGTTGCCTCCGTTTGTCCCTTCTCACCCAGCCTCTGTCTAGCACAATCCCATGTCTCTGTTCTGCTGCCACTTTATTAGGGCATGGAGAGTGGAATGAGGAAAAGGTTGTAAACTCCTTTGTATGACAGAACAACAGTCCTTTTCACTCGTAGCACACCCTGTAGCCTGCCATCTCAAACAGCTTTGCAACTGCTGATGAATTGCTTCCCACAACTGTTCTGGAGCCAGGAGTGAATTTGGTGGCAGGGATGAAGTGGGACAGGGAGCTCCCGGAAAGCCCATCCGCTGGTTTTAGTGGTGCAAGGGGGGAGCAAAGGAGAAGACTTTGCAAGAGAGGAAGAGCACATCCCCAGGTACTGGCTGTTCAAAGTGGTTCTTGCCAACAACAAGAATAAATTGGTAAAAGCTCACTAGATAGTTACCATGTTTAAATAGTTTGACCTCATTCCTGC